TAATATCAGAATAGTTAAACAAGTCGTTTACCAGAGTGTTGCTACCGGGGGTCAGCAAATAAATCACGAATCGGTCTATGTCCAGCAATCTAGGCACGCAGCCAGCCATTTCCAACACATTATTCCACCTAATTAAGCGATTCTTTTGGCAATAACTATCGTCAAAGTGAAAGAAGACGAAATTGTTGGCACTGGCCAGCTTGAACAACAAATAATCACCAAATTCTATACCATTAGCATGAACAAATTCCTCCCATCCATGAGTGAAGCCTACACTTTCACCCATCACTTCCACCCTCAGGTCCCAGGAGCGCCCGCAATTAAGGACGTCACTATGGACTTTAACAGAAATGGGGAGCCGCACCGCACCGAAAAAATGATCATTGGCAGGGGGAAACGCCTATTAATGTCAAGCATCATCAAAATCAATTAGCTCAAATAACAAAAAGCACAAAAAAGAAAAAAAAAGCACAACGCAACATAATTAAATTAGCAGCTCAGAATGATTACCAGAAAATGTTCATTTGTCTCACGAATAAGACTGATAAATGTCAGCAACGCTGCGATGTTGTTTGCCATTTTCTGATTTTGGATTTACTTCGCGGTTGCTGGGGAGGTTTTACTTTGTGATTTACTTTGAGAATTCAGTAGTTCTTTATATGTGGTAGTATCTAGGGTTAATGTCAGCTCCTATATAATCAGCGACAACAACCTTTGACCTACTCGCCCGTACCTGGGCTTCAATTTATTTGGGCTTTTTAAATTAATATGTAATATAATATTTGTGTTGGAAAAACTTTTATCGAAACAAAACAACTAACCTAACAACTAGACATAACTAACCTAGCAACACCGGACGACTAAACTAGCACCCCAAAACAACTAGCTTAGCAACTAAATACAACTAGACATAACTAACCTAGCAACAAAAGACTACTAACTAACCATGCAACTAGACATAACTAACCTAGCAACATCGGGCAACTAACCAAGCAAGTAAACACAAATAACCTGCTGACTACCTTGCCAGCCTTGGCGCCACCACACCGAACCTACACACGTATCAGACCGACACCACTGCTCCACTCCGCCTTCGCACGCTGGTACGGATGGACCAACTTGGTTACCCATCTTTTCGGTTTTAGTAGATTACATTTTCTCTCCTTTGATCATACATTTATTCCGGGCACCTGTTAGCCCAATGACAGACCTTGTAGTATTTCCTTTCCTTTCCCTTTTCTGTTTTTATCTTCCTTTTGATTGTGAGACTATGTTGATTGTATTTGGTTGATATTTGGGCCCTTCTTGGGGACTTGATCTATATACAGGTTGGGGATCCAGCCCAATCCCCCGCCCCCGGAGCGTTTTATTAAAAATAAAAAATAAAAATAAAAATAAAAAAAAACCTAGCAACAACAAAAAACTATCCCTGCAACTAGCTAAAACTAACCTTGCAGCTCCAGACAATTAACATAGCACACA